ATGCTATTTTGGTGATCATTGACCGCATGACTAAGAGTGCTTACTTCCTTACTATCCAGGAGAGTTTTTCGGCCGAGAAATTTTCTGATATCTACGTTCGAGAGGTGGTTTCTCATTAGGGTGTGCATATTTCTATAGTTTTAGATCGATACGTTCGGTTTAATTCCAGGTTTTGGAAGAGTTTCCATTAGGATTTGGGTACTTTCTTGCATTTCATCACGACTTATCACCAACATACATATGGCTAGAGTGAACGCACCATTTTAAAATTCGAGGATATCTTGAGGGCTTGTATCATTGATTTTGGCAGGTGCTTAGATTCCTATCTTCCTTTGGTAGAGTTTTCATATAACAACAACAATCAGTCCAACATTAGTGCACCTCCCTGTGGGCTTCTTTATGGGAGGAAGTGTCAGACACCGATTTTTTGGGGAGAGGTTGGAAAGAGAGTCATGGGAAACATTGATGTGGTGCTTAAGAAGAAGGAGATCATACACAAGTAAGACAAAGGTTGTAGGCAGCACAAATCCTTCAGCAGAGCTATGCAACGTTAGGTCGTTCGGAGTTGGAGTTTCAGGTCGGGGATATGGTGTTGCCGAAGGTGTCGCCCTGGAAGAGTGTTATTCGTTCCGCGAAGCGGTGAAAGATAGGCCCTAGATTTATTGGACTGTTCCAAGTGATTTCTAGGGTGGGCAAAGTATATTACTAATTGGATATACCTGTGGAGCTTTGTGAGATCCAAAATATTTTTCATGTTTCTCAGCTGAAGTGTTTGGCCGATGACTCCGTAGTGGTTCCTTTGGACTACATTCAGGTTGATGAGCGCCTAAATTATGTGGAGCGACCGATCGTTTTCTTTAACAGGAAGACGAAGAACTTGTGCAACAAGGTGGTGAGTTTGGTTAAGGTGCATTGGCGGCACCGGAAGGATTCCGAATGGACTTGCGAACCCGAGGAGGAAACGAGGGAGCATTACCCCGAGTTATTTGCAGCAACGGATTTTGAGGATGAAATCTGATTCAATTGGGGGAGAGTTGTAACACTCGGTTCCCAAGTGTTATTCTTTAAAGCTCTCTAATGTTCAAGTTTTGATTTTTGGGATTCTTGTCTTCCAATAACGTGGTAATTTGGTTTCCACAGCGTGGTTGAGACACGTTACCACAACATGGTAATTAAATGAGGCCATAACATGGCGCCACAATGAGCACAAAACCCTAAGTTTCGGGCTAGGGGCCCTATATAAAGGATATGGGTTTAGGGTTTCAACCACCCCCAGCCTCCATCAGAAGCACTCTCCTCCAAACCCTAACTCATTTCCTCTGCATTTTGAGCTCTATTTGGTGGTTTTTGATCTTTGAAGGAAGAAGGAAGGACTTGGGGAGCAAGAGAGCACCAAGCAAGCATCACCTCAATCTCTTATGCATTCTTTGGAATTTTGTAAGTATTATAAATCATATCTTGGTGGTTATTTTCCTAGTAGGCCTAGGTTTAGCGGATAGTTCTTCTTATTAGGAAGTTTTGAGTGCTTGTTCTTGGTAAAGCTAGCAACTTTATTGGTCTTTGAGGTCCCAAGAGTCTTATATGCTTCATATCTAGATTTCCTTTGTGGTTTTGGTGCATGAAGTCTGGGGCCAGTTTTCATCATGTTGATCGAATTTGGTGTATGACATGCATTAGACATGCATATCTAAAAATGTGGGATTTTTATAGACCACAAGGGTGCCATTAAGCCTTATGGAAAGTTGGAAAGTTGGAATTAACTTATTAAGGACTTAATGAGATTATGGATCGGCCAACGTCTCCACGGCGTGGTCGAGTGCTAACCACGGCATGGTGGACAAATCCATCATGTTCTCTAGATCAGCCAAGACCACGACATTGTAAAGGACTTGCTACATTGCGGTGGTTTACTGAGTTAACTTTAACCATTGAGCGTTGAGTTTAACTATGTTGAATTTTGGTCAAATGAGTAGTTTTAGATGGTAGACTAATGTTTGGCCTTTTGATTGATGTCTATGTGGTGTGTAGGACCAACCTTTACATCTTGCGTGTTGTGGTGTTAGTTTACTTCGACTGCGATGTGAGTATTCTCATTATACTATGTAGAATGATAAACTATCTTTGTGACTCTTGCATATACGTTATGTATGTTGGGCGGGTCCGTTGAGCATGTTGGACAAGGCCCGTTTTGTATGTTGGGTGGGGCCCATTTTGTATGTTTGGCGGGGGCCCGTTATGTATGTTTGGTGGGGCCCATTATTGTATGTTGGGAAGGGCCCATTATGTATGTTGGCGAGGCTCGTATTGGTATGTGGTATTTTGGGGAAATCACTAAGCTTTATGTAACGCTCACAAATTCGGGCTAGACGTTTTAAGGATTATAAATTATAAATATTCGTTTTATCGAACAATTAAATCCTCAAATAGAATAATTATAAATAAATAAGAATCCTTTGTATGGGATACGAGTTATATAAATGATATATATATATATATATATATATATATATATATATATATATATATATATATATATATATATATATATATATATTGCATACATGTTTTAAGGACAAATACTATGGGCTTATAATATTTTTATAAAACATTATTATAAAATTAACAAATTACGTTAAATAAAGTGTGTCATAAAATATGAATTAGAGATAGGTTGCTTATTATTCTAAGTGATCTAAACGAAAGTCGTACTAATCGAAATTACGAAAGTATGCATGTAAAAAACGCCTAAATATGACTTCATATGAGGAAGTTACGACTTTTCGAAGTTTCGGTGCGAGATAGTACAACAGTGTGTGACACAGAAATTGAAATTAAAATTGGTTGATTGTTAGCCAAAACAATGTAAACGAGAGTAGAAGATCTCGTAAAATCGAATTCGTCGATATTGAGAACATCGAGAACGGAGTTCGTATAAAGGAGTTATGATTTTTGCATAGATTTTAACAGTGTAATCTCTATAAAAATATGAATTTAAAATAGAATGAGATTTAGCTGTTGAGATCTAAAGGAAAGTTATAGTACTTGTCGATACCAACACATGGATATAAAGAACGTTGAAAACGAAGTTCATATGTGAAAGTTACGATATTTCAAAGATTGCGAAAAACTCCCGTGAGCGATGATGTGGCTGCACCATAGTGCGCCACGTGGTAGAGGCGACAACCACAACTTCTAACCGACCAAGCGACATGGTCCACCGAAAGCCAGACACGAGTCTGCATTAGACCATCAACATGTATGTCATCTAAACAAATGGAAATGGCGACTCTATCAGACCATCAACACGTATGCTTGAGTCATCTGCCGGAGTAAGATGACGACCACTCGTTTTAGTCTTTTGGAATATTAACGGGTAATCATTCACGTAATGAACTGTGCATTCATTCGTTGTACTCCATCATCTTGTTGTTGCATTTATTGTTCCTCGTCTGCTGTCAAAGAATTATGAAACAATATAGTCAACTCGTTGCTAACAATGATCCATCATGATAAATCTCGTCAAGATCATTGTATATGTTCAATGTGTCAGGATTGACGGGATGGGGTAGAATCTTTTTATAGATATGAGATATATCTGTGTTTTGTTGATGATTGTTGGTTTTGCAGGTTTATTAATTAAGATTTATTTAAGGATTTCTATTTTTTTCAAAGACTGAGTCAAGAAATTGTAGTTTAAAATAGTTTTTGATTTTTTATAGCTCTTTAGTTTTCCTCTTCAATTGGAATCCTCGGTTTAGGAGGAACGATTTAAATTATTTTTCATTGATTTTTTGGATAATAACTTTATTTAGTTTACTAATTTAGTACTTACACCGCAAATCAGATAATTAAATAAAATAAGATATTTGGGGTTTTTTTAGAGTTATTCATCTGTATATTTTTTTTTGATGACCTTGCATAATAAACCTGGGGGCAGAAATATAGTGAAAAAATAAGATCGAATCCATATGTATATAGTAGTAAAAAAAGTTAAGATAAAATAAAAATAATCGGGGGGCATTGCCCCTGACCCTATACACGTTTCGGCCCCTGCAATAATATGGGTTATGGTAGGCTTACAATATGATATTATCCTACATTATATATATATATATATATATATATATATATATATATATATATATATATATATAGGCCTAGGTTATTCTATACAAAGTAATTATTGTGTTATTGTATGCATAACTGTGGGCCAATCAATTTTACTTATTTTAAGAAAGTGATTAATATATATTATTGAATTGAATGTAATTGAAATATATCATCTAATTTAATTACAATTGTATTTTAGTCAATTAATATAGATTTAATAACGGAAAATTGCATATTTTAATGGATCATAGATTCTATTAATTTTAAAAATCCGATTTTACGAATTATAACTATTTTAATTCGGACATTCTGATAGAATATGTTTATTTATTTAATTATTTACTCAAAAATAAAAATATTCTTTAACAATAAATAATAAAAATATTTTTGAACCTATTTCTTGATCATGACTTTAAGAACTTCTTGTAAAATAACAAATTCTTGAACAATCAATTGAAGAATAAAAACAAAAACTACATTATTTCTTATAGAATACGGGTAACAATTGTTAAGAATTACATTTATTGTTAAAAAATAAAACTAAAAAAACTTTCAAAACGGGAAAGAAAACATCAAAATCTAACAACGACTAATACATTCTAAAAGAATAATGTGGTCCGTTCTTCAAGCATCAACTTCTGTGATTCCAATAGAATTAGAATTCATGATTCCATTCCAACAGAATTGGAACTAATAATTCCATTCCAATAGAATTGGAATCTCACCAATATCATCCATTGAATCATCTACATAAACAAATTAATTCCATAATTCAAAATCAACTCCAAAACATACATAAGAGTCGAATCTCTATGCTTACGTCCATTTTTTTATAATAAAACTACCATAATGATACAGCCATGACAGGGGTAAAAAGGCCAAAAGCACATTTACTCAGAATCCGAATCATCATTAGACTTGGAGCCATGTCTAACGTTTCTTGTTTGAGGCTTTTTTGATGGTTTTAAGGATGATTCGCCTTCAAAAAATATAACTTCACCTTTCCCCAACCTCTCCTCCGGTTCTTCAGTGCTAAAACCATCACTCCCACCAAGCTCATCAAACCCCACCTATCATATCATCCATACATCAAAACACACCAGAAAGAAAGAAAGGAGTGAGACACGTAGATATATATAATGTACCACATAATCTTCAACTTTGGCATTTTTTATAAGAGCAATTGTTGGAAGAACAACAATTTTGAGCTTCTCAGCCAAGAATGGGTTTTTCTCTGCTTGAATCTTGATGAATCGTGTCTCGATATGCTGTTTTGCCAATATTCCCAAGTGTTTGCCAACTACCTGTTAAAATATTCAAACAATCTTTAATCCAATTAAGCAGTTTGCTGAAAAACTGAAATCGGTTTCATATGTTGTAATTTGCCAATTTCAAAACCTAATGATGTATGAACCCTAAATGGTTAGCTTTGTGTAAGATACGCTCTTTTCTAGTTCATGAATAGGACATCTATGCAATCTTTGAATCAATAAAAGCAATAGTTTCTCCCATTTTCTCTTCTTAATTCCATCAAATGAGAGGTGAAAAGGGGAATTTACCTTGCAAGGCCAATTTTCACGATAGAAATGGCAAACAACGTGATCGCTGGCCTTAACAATGGAGAAGAAATCCTTCTCGGAGAATATCTCAGAATATTCTCCGTGGCCAAGGGAAATCCAACGGCTCCGCTTCTTCGCCATCTTCTTCATCTGTTGCAATCGCCGCTCTCTCAGGATTTCAGTGTCGTCTAAGTCCAACTTCTCCAAAGCCGCGATTTCATCATTGATTTTCTCCTCTACAGCTTTCGCAACACTCAGCACTTGCTGCTCGATGGAGAACAGTTTTTCCGGCTGCGGAGGCTACGGCGGCGATGATGGATTTAGGCAGACCGGTGCCGACGACGATGAGATCAAAGTTTGTTGGGTCGATCGGGGGTAGCATTCCGTCTCCGCCATTAAAAGGGGGGAATTGGGTTAAAATCAACCTAACTAGCAAAATTATAGGGAGTATTTGTGGAAGTTATTTCTCAAATTACCTAGTTACCCTTATTGATTTATTTAATTATTGTTTTTCCTATTAATTTTTGATTAGTCCACAATTATGCATACAATAACACAATACTTAGTTAAAACACTTGAACCTATATATATATATATATATATATATATATATATATATATATATATATATATATATATATATATATCATACTATCATACTATACTTATAAAGAATACATTTTTCCTATCACCTCATGCATTTGAAATCCCCACACAAATTTCCAAGCACCTCATGCATTTTAAACCCCCACACCTTTTCACCTTGAAAGTAATTAATTACACATCATGAAAGGTTTTATAACTTATATAATATGTTTAATAAGCAGTTGATGGATAGTCTATTATAAAAATGTCATTCTCTTTGAGTAGACACACAAATACAAATCACATACAAAATTCACAAAAAAAAACAAGTTTAAAGGTTTTGTGTTGGTTTGAGGGTTTTTGACCTTTTTTCGAGCCATGTTATTATGTTAAAGTTTTTAATTTGTAAGTTTGTTATATATAATTCTTTTTTTATATATATATATTTCTTGGTTTAAGTATTCTTTTAAGACAATCATTGTATGTTGTGGTTGAAACTTTAATGTAAATTAGATTAAATTCATTTTATCGATCATATGTTATGGAAAGTGCTACAGATAATATTTAATTAAATATTGTATATATGCTTGTATGTTTGTGTTGCTTCAAAATAATAATTAATAAAAAATCATGGATATGCAATATTATCCGTAGTATCCATGTAAGTCTCTTTAAAATGCAAATTGTCTATCTTGTCATTTTATATTTTAGTATATGTTTAACATTTTAATTATAATAATAAGTGTCTTTTAAAAGTTTTCTTTCGTTTATTAATAATAATAAGTGGTTTTAAAACTAATGAACCATAATAATAAATAATAAAATCAAATTATAAAAACCATAGATATGTCATATTGTCCATGCAAATCTCTTTTAAAATACAAATTGTCTATCTTATCAGTTTATTATTTTGTGTATGTTTCATATTTTAATAGTAATATTAAGTGTTTCTTAAAAGTCTTCTTTAACTTACTAATAATAATAAGTGATTTAAAATTAAAGATAATAACATCAATTTATAAATTACATACCATTAACAACAAATAAATTAATTTTTAAATGAATATCATTATTAAAATTATAAAATAATCGTATAAGTAAAAATTTAAATTAATTAATCATAAAATTGTTAAAAATAATATTAAATAGATAATTATATTTATATATATATATATATATATATATATATATATATATATATATAAAAGAAACATTTTTTCTTTTATCATATCGACTTGAAACCTCTTAACCTTTCACCCTTCCACCTTGTATATTAAATTTATTACTTTAAGTACATAAATATAAAATATTATCATATTAATTCTAATTTTTTTTGAATTATCATCATAATGTATTTATTTAATTTGTTGATTTAAATATGATGTAAAATCTAAAACCTAAATCAAAATATCAAATAAATTAAAAAAATAATCAAATATTATTTTTTAAATATCTAAAAAAATTTAAATACTAAAATATAAATCTGGATTGATATTTATTTGAATATCTATACCTTTACAAACAATTATTAATATATCAAAATTATCATCAAGATCAAATTAAAAAAAAACAAATAATTAGTTTTAAAATAATTGAGAATAAAAATAGTGTAAAATATCACAAAATCAATATTTATATTTAATATTATTAACGTACAAGTCGCAAATAGATTATATTAAGTGTTGTGATAATTAATTAAATATAATAATTATTATTTTATAGTTAATGTCAATAACATAAAGATTTATGCGAACTTGAAAACTACCAATCCAAGCATTTTCAAAATCAAAACCACAAATATTTACGAAATGCAACATTTAAGCTATATCTAGGGTAAAAAAAAATATTGACGATTTTTTTTTACTTATGATTATCTTTTAGACTGCAGGTTCGTGTATATATATATATATATATAATTATATATTAGATATATATATATATATATATATATAATATATATATATATATATATATATATATATATATATATATATATCAGCAGTCAAATGGACTGCGGATGCAGGTTTATCCACAATTATATGACTGTGGACGAATATTCTCAACTGTTCATTTTGGAGTTCACAGATGCACATAAATCCTTTGGTTCGTACAATAACTCAGACATGTATCCATCTTTTTGTTATCTTTCGTCCACAATGAACCTTCAACTCCTTAGGGGAGGCATACATTTTCAAACTTACGGTACTATTAGGCCAAAGGACTTTGGTATATATATATATATATATATATATTATATATATATATATATCTATATATATATATATATATATATATATATATATATATATAATATATATAGAGAGAGAGAGAGAGAGAGAGAGAGAGAGACGAAAGGGCCTTTGGCCTAATAGTACCAAGAGTTTGAAAATGTATGCCTCCCCTAAGGAGTTGAAGGTTCATTGTGGACGAAAGATAACAAAAAGATCCATACATGTTTTTTATAATTAAATAGCAAAATCATGCATAGTGTAAAATCTAAGAAAAAGGTTGTTAAGATTAACATGAAGCGCTAGAAGAGGCTGCTTTGTCCTCCGATATATTATCTCAGGTCCCGGCAAAAACATGCACAATATTGTTTGTATTGGTTGTAGGGTTGGTTAGGTATTTTAAACAGTTTTATTTAACTCATGTTTTACGCAAGTAAAATAATTTATCATTCAACATTCAGTCTGATTTAACGTATACATGCTATTCGATATGTTAGTACTTAATAGAAACAAACAAGCACTCAAATTGCAAATATCGATATGGCTACAATGGGGCCTTGACCATATAATATTTCACAAACGTTGTCCACACGTTCTCTATTATTGTAGATATTATTTATGAGATGTATTTAAGATATGTATCTTATTTTCTTGATTTAAACGAGATAAACTACATTTCAAATGGGGCCCGTTGGCTACGTGCAATTAATTTATTATTGAATCCTTTAGTTTTATGCAAGTTAGGAATAAGGTCACTTAATTTATAACAACTTATGCCCCATATTTCAAACTTCATATTCTAATAAATGAATAGTTTTAATCTCTTTTTGCCAAGTGTCACTCTAATATAACTTATCATTAATATTATGTCATGTGTCATGTAGATATATTAGGGAACTTATTTCAAAATTCAAATTTACATTTTCTAATTATATGTTAAATTTGAAGTTATAATAATTTTAAAATTTTGATATATCTCTTAATTAATAATTTATTTAAAATGACTTATTTAAAATAACTGATTAATAATTATAAATTTTTATTATAAAAATTTAATTAATTTTATAACCGTGGTTTTCACGGGTTATAAACTAGTTCTTAATAGATATGTAGTATTAAATTTCTTTAGTCAGAGAGCGGTTCTAAACCCGTTTCCCTTCCAAAACCGAGTTTGCAAAAACAGGAGTCAGGTTGACATCGGTTACTAGCGAGACCCGTGGGCTTGAGGATGAGTCTTCCATTCACATTTTGTTGCAATGTACTTGAGTGAATGAGATATGGACTCTCCTCCAATCTTTGTGCGATCTGGATTTTTCCCATGGGATAATGACTTAAAAGGGTAATATATTTTTCGATTTGTACACATTTGGTCACTGAGTTTTTTTTCGTCCACATTTACCCCTTCAACTTATTAAACTGTACACATTCAGTCCTTATGACCGGTTACTCCAGGTTAGCTGAGAAAAATGACTTAATAGGGTAATATATTTCTCATTTTTTACACATTTAGTCCATAATATTTTTGTACACATTTAGTCATTAATATTTTTTGGTTTCAAAATAAGTCGTTTTGTTTTTGTACTCATTCAGTACTTATGAATGATTTCTTTAAGTTTTTCTCACGACATCTTACGTGAGACATTCATTGATGAAGTGTGTGGGGCTGTTGATGTTTATGTGTAACGTCTCATTTTCACAACCAAAAATTTTAATTTTTAAATAAGGCAAAAGTCCCTAATTATAATCTATTATTAAGAAAAAACGTTTATTCCAAAATAAATTTATCGAAAATCAGAGTAATATAAGAAACACGGAATCCTCAATACTGTTGATAAGTGTGTACAATCATATCTTCGCCTTTCCACGATCAACGATAGAACATGAAAACATAAACAACTGGGTAAGCACAAAGTTTAGTGAATTTTCCCCAAAATACTTGATACAACAAACGTATTATCATGCATAACGAGCTCACACTCATCAGATTGGAATTCCTTGTCCCAATCAGTTATCGGACTGGAATGCCAACATGCAACATGTCCAATCAGTCATCAGACTAAAATACTCAGGGTTTGTCGGCATGCCGCCTTAACCCAACCGCTCTTCTCGAGCCTTCGTGCCTACACCTTACAACGGGCCCACACCAGGTATCCTGGCCTACAACATATAGCAGGACCACCTCAACCTATCTCACCACCATATGGCTATCCCATATAAGATGTCGTGAGAAAAAAACCTAATGAAATCATTCATAAGTACTAAATGAGTACAAAAAAAATGATTTATTTTCTAACAAAAAAAATATTAAGGACTAAATATGTACAAAAATATTAAGGA